ATGTTTTTTTAATGCATAATATCAATTTTAGAGGAAAAAACTTTACCAAATACATTTAAAAATCAGATTGAGCTAAACCTACTTAAATTTAAGGTATAGAAACATTATTTTGCAAATTTTGAACAGATTTTGAGATAATACCATCACACGGTAATCCCGAACCACACCTAAAATTTAACTGAAAATCGTACGACACAAATACAGGCCAATAAAACAATAGGATATAGGACTGTTATTGCAGCAACCAAAAAATTTCCTGGAAATTTTTGTCGCCTTACTAACCTAACAGAAATTAATCAGTGGAATTTTTTTTTACATAATCACAATTTGGATAAAATTTATTGTTGATTTAAATAAAATACACAATTATTGTAGTTACTAAGAATAGTATATTTTGGGTCTAGATCGGTTAGGCACATGGATTTGAATAAAATGACTCAAATTAGGGCTGTTTGTGTCTTGTACATTTTCTTACCAAATACGCCCTCCTGCATTGATTAATATCCTGAAATTTTATTCTCATGCATTTCAAAAACGTAATCGTGTTCCACTCGGGCTAAGTAGTACGTTTTTGAACTGAATTCGAAAAAAATTCCGGAAATAATCAATGCACTAGGGATATTATAAGTGAAAATTATCCAGTAGTTTCAAACGTCGCCTGCGTTGATAGGCAACGGTTTCAAAGTAAATATATTATAAAGTCACCAATAGATGGCGGACAGATCAATCAAACGATAAATAACAGGAAATCTAACGGAAAGGAAACGAGACACCTAAGTGCCGCGAGACATCGTGAATACAAGAAAAGAAAAAAAAGATAATTACTTACGAAAAAGCTTGATAATAGTTAATAATTATATAAGTATAATATTTTAAATCAAGATAAATAAATTAATAATTATTATTATTGAAAGCTGCTTATAATAACAAATGCTAACAACCATCTGTATCTAACAACATTTAATTTTATTAATAGGGTCATTTAGTGATCTTTACAGAAGGTGTTCATGTTCAAACGATAATAATTGACATAACTCACGGTTAAAATGTACAAAACTACTAGTGCGTTATTATTTTTTTTCACTAGCAGCCATGAAGCATCCAAATGTCGACTCATTTAGAGGTAGCAAATTCAACTTTTGCGACCACCGGTTCAAAAAGAAGATTGAGGTTATGTACGCAATACTTGATGTGATTATTTCTTAAAAAATGAATAAATGTGTGATATTAACATTACTTGAGTATACGCATGGTAGTTGGTAGACGGTAGAAGATAAAATGATTAACTCAGCGACAAGTATAAACGGTTTTCTTTGTGTTGAAGATTTAGATTAAGTTTGATTAGAAATCAAAACAAAATCACGTTGCGTCAAAAAATTGAACGTTTATTTTTTCAATTTATTGTCTTATAGTTTCTACTAGTGAAAAAAATAGTATATTAACCACGGTTGCAAAGCCACTTCTAGACCTCGCGCTTCAGAGCCCTCGACGCTGCGCGTCTCGGGTTCTAATTTGCGCTCGGTCTAGAATGTTGGCTCTGCAACCTTGGCTAATAATATACTATTTTACATATACAGATGTAATAACAATGACATTAAAACTGGAAAGTTTCCGAAATATAACTAAGGACAGAAATTACCTACTGTTTTAACAGGATGATGCTGAAGTATGTCTAATGTCAGTCGTTCCTGGTATTTTACAGTCTGTAGGCCACGAAAGTACAAGTTGTTCATTTCAATCAAGAGAAAACGCCGTGCATAAGTTAAGTAATGTCGTAAATCAAACCAAAATACAAAGCCTAGTTTTTGTTTATTATGAACTCGTAACTGTGGTGCTGTTTTTTTCCGATGATTTATTCGAAGCTTTTTAAAGGAGAGTTCCAAGCATAGTTTCTTTACAAATCAGTTCCCTTACGCCAACCCCAGTGGTGTAATTATTTAATAGTAGTATTGATTTATTAATAATAATAATAATATTTATTCCTACAGGTAACACCCAATTACAGGAATAATATCAAACTAACTAAACTAATTCATGACAGTAACTAAAAAAGTATAAATATTGAAAAAACAAAAGTATCTACAGCTAATTAAACATTAACCAAAATCTACAATGCAATTACAAATACTAAAACTAGAATCAAAATTAATATCACATAAATGTGCAATTTTGTGGAATAAATTACACATAACCGACACTGGAGAGCGAACTGAGACGTTTGTACGACTAGAATCAATATAAAACAGAACTTGTTGACGATAATTAAGTCTAGGTACAAGTATATTAAGTCTACTTAGAATATCAATGCAGTCTACTTTATTGTGAAATAAATTATATAAAAATCTGACCGCTATTACTTTTCGTCGTACAGCCAAAGACAAAAAATTAAAACGAGAAAGTAACAGGGAGTGTTCATAACCTTGAGGGGGATAAACACCATCCTCCAAATATACTAAAAATTTGAGGAATCGTCTTTGAACAGATTCCAAATGACGGCAATGTATTTCATAAATCGGATACCAAATTAAAGTACCATACTCCAACTTGGACCTAATCAAGGAACAAAACAATATTTTAAGTGTTCTAATATTACAAAAATTGCTGCAGTTCCTATATATAAAGCCATAGGTTCTAAGTGCAGCAGCAATAGACGCATGAATGTGTTGCACGAAGGTGAGTTTACTATCAAATATTATACCTAAATCTTTGACTGTATGACATCTCTCAATAGTGGAACCATTAATGTTATACTCGTAAATAATATTTATGTGTTTTCTTGAATAAGATACTACATTACATTTGCTTTTATTTAGAGACAGACGATTTTCCAGACACCACTGCACAATATTTTCGATATTTCGTTGAAGTAATGCACAATCATATAAAGACTCAATTTTCGAATAAAGTTTAAAATCATCGGCAAACATTAATTTGTCACACAATACCACATCTCCAAGGTCATTAATAAATAAAAGAAAAATCAACGGCCCCAGGTTAGACCCTTGGTGTATCCCAGATGTGGAAGAAAAGGCAGAGGACGTGAAGTTACGATATCTGACACTAAATTCACGATTAGAGAGGTAAGACAAAAATAATTTTAGTAAAGAATCAGAAAAACCTAGAATACGAAGCTTTTGTAATAGTATATGGTGATCGATTTGATCAAATGCCTTGGAAAAGTCGGTATATATACAATCAACTTGTCTTTGGCATCGAGCGTTTCTGAGACGAACTGTGGAAATACTGTTAAGTTGGAGACAGTTGAACGGTTTAACATAAGTCCATGCTGGTAAGGAGGTATTATATGTTTAATTGAACTGTAGATGTATTTATACAAAATTGATTCAAATGTTTTCACAAAATTGCAAAGCAAGGATATAGGTCTGTAATTCGAAATTTGATTAGCTTTACTTTTTTTGAAAATTGGACAAATTATGACTTTTTTCCAAATACCAGGAAACTCTGAACGTTGCAAAATTAAAGTAAAAATAGTATAAAGAGGATCAGCAAGGACATGAGCGCAGTCTCTAAGTATAAAACTAGGAACATTGTAAATTCCCGATGTTAACGAGTTTTTGGATTGTTGCAAGTGTGTTACTACATCAGATATGGAAATATGATCTACAGAGATTATCGACGATCCGGGGTTGCAATGTACAGAGATGCTGTCAGCAGTAAGAGGAGACGGAGGAATAAAAACACTATTAAAGTAATGGCCGAAAGCATTAACTATTTCAAGAGGATCTGAAATCTCGATGTTATCATGATATAGTAAGCCTGGAATACGTGTCGATCCTTTTTTATTATTTATAACACTCCATAATTTTTTAGGATCATTAGATAATGAGTTCTCAGCAGAACACAAGTATGCTTTATATGCCTCACTAATAAGTTTTTTACAGAAAGCTTATTTGCCTTACAGGCTTAATAAGATTCCCAGTAGGGCTACAAATTAACTTAATCTACATAATACAAATAAATCAATAAAAATAAATAAAATAAATATTCGACTTTTATATAATAATAATTGTTCTATTCTTTCTGCTTGCCCACCCCTTACCTTAGTTCCCTTATCTTCCGTACTTCTTTCATCCAGTCCAGTCCTCTTCCATCCTCGTTTAGCACTTCTTCCCTACTTTCCTTCTATTCTCTCAATCCTTCCAGCATATGCTCTATTGTTTCTCCCTCTCTCCAACATATCCTACACCTTCTGTCAGTTTCATTTATCCAAAAATTATTCTCTTTCTCTTCATTTCCACACCTAAATCTCGCCATCATTCTTTTCTCCTATACCCTGTATTATATCTAGACTCCGATATTCTCGATCTGCGTTCTTGCTTATCTATATCCTTATCTCTTACACTCAATCCTTCTTTCATACTCCTTCCCATTTCTCTCATTCTCCCTATTTCTTCACATGCATACCCCTTTCCTTCATAGTATTTGTCTCTTCCGTTCCAAACATGTTTTCCTCGTTGCTTTCTTATTTCTTTCCAACATTCCTGCAATATTTTACAATCACCTCTCTCGCTAAACTTTTGTTCAAATCCAACCGCCCTTTTACCAGCTTCCACTCTCATTTTCTCCCTTTTTGTTTTTTCTCTCACTATATATCCCGGCGTATACTTTTCCAATCCCAATGTCCATTTTAAGTATTTTTCTTGCACTCTCTCTGTTTCCTCATATTCCCTCCATCCCGAAATCGCAGCTCCGTACATAAATACACTTTTGATCAAACTATCAAACATCATCATTCTTCTCTTATAATCATGTCCAAATTTTCTCTCTCCTATTCCCCATACTATTCCTATCAGTTTGTTCGCTTTTATTTTTTGTGTTTCTTGAATATGCTCTCTATCTGAGTTATTGCTCTTTAATGTATATCCTAAGTACTGGAATTCTTTCACCTGTTCAATCTTCTTCCCTCTCGATGCCCACTATTCCTTCTCCTTTCTTACTTTCTTCCTTTCCAAACACCTCCATTTTTGTTTTTTCTACATTCACTTCTTCTCTTTTTTTGCTACAATCACCAAATTATCTGCGTACACCAGCGACCACACTTTCTCTTTGCCCACTACCACCCCTCCTGTCTGTGCTTTTCTGAACACTTCCTCTATATCTCCTAGATAAGCTGCAAACAATGCGGGGCAGAGTGGGCATCCCTGTCTCACTCCTCTACTTGTATAAAAACTTTCGCTCTCTATTCCATTCACTCTCACTTTACTTACTGTTTCTACATATATTTCTTCCATTTTCGTTTCCAGGTACGCATCTACTCCCTTTCTCCTCAAATACTCCCACATTTTCTCTCTATTCACGCTATCAAACGCTGCTTTGAAATCTATGAACAATGCGTACATTCGTCCACCCTCTTTCCTTATTTCTCTTCCCACTAAATTCCGCAGGATGTACACATTGTCCATAGTACGTCTTCCTTTCCTAAAATTGCCTGACCGTCTGGTAACATACCCCTTGCTTCCATCTCATTTCGTAACCTCTCATCTAGTATCATTGCGTATATCTTGTACGCCGTATTGAGCAAGGTGATCCCTCGGTAGTTCTTCACATCACTTTTTTGCCCCTAATCAAGTACAGCGCCTACGGTCTCGTCTGTTTCATTTTATTTGGCCCACCCTGTATATATTTTTTAACTAAGTAAACTCGTTTTATTGTAGACACTTTCTTGATATTTGACATCAAATAACCCAAGGCTAACACTCTACCTTGTAATTTGTTTTGTGAAAGACTGACCATGCCAGGATATGACCAAGGATCAGAGTGGTGAAAACATATTAATTTTTGATACAACAACCGTTTCAGCAAAATTTGAGGGTACCTCAGAAATATATTGTTACGAAAAAAACCATACTCTGCCCCGGTCCGACGCCTATGGGTTCGATGACGGCGGCCGGGCGGCGTTCGTTAAAGAAAAGCCTGGAAGCGGAACTAGAGATGGGTATTCCAGAAAGACACCGATCGCCGCACATCTAGAAGGAAGTATGGGTTTAAACAGAGGCCACCTTCGGAAACGATTATTATTCAGTCGAGTCGAGTCCAGGGAATGTTGAGAAAAGCCAGTCAAGTTGCGCCAGAATTATTTTGTACATAATCTCTGTGTAATCAGTTGTGTAAATTTGAGTTATTAAGAAATAAATTGTTTAGTTTTACCCACGCCGATTTTAATCACCAATCATCATAACAATATTTATTTATGTAGCGTAAAGTTGGTAACTGGCCCTAACATACAATACAAAAGGATGTAAGAAACGCGAGTAAGTCCTGCACCAAACAAAACCTAAAAAGACAAAAATACTAATAAAACTGTCAAATGCATTTTCTAAATGTGTAGAAAGAGACACATCTAGCCATTTTTTTAATGTGCTAACTGACTTTCAGCGGAAAGGAAACTGTCACAAGTAGGGTATTCCCGCAGTGAATGTTTCGAGTTAGACATATGCAGCCGGTGGAAATAAAATATACAAATGGACCAACTGCTCTGGATTCGTGCCCAGGCCTATTTTTCTAGGGAATATGTAACATCACGCCATCAACAACATTCAAGAGGATGTAGTCATAAACTAAAAAATTGTGTTGAATCCAAGTCGTGGTTTGCCTTTTTAATGTGGTAAAATTCGAATGTTAATTGTACAGTAAGATAATTTATTTTTTATAAACTTAACTTTTGATGGACTGAAAGACTAAGACCTATTAAATCATTGGCTTAACCGAAGGGATGTGACACGCACTTAAGGAACGAATAGATGTATGAACGTCGCTTGGTTCTAATCACATGAGGAAACACCTAAGGAACAGGAAACAGTGGGGAGATATCTTTCGTTGGCTCAACTCAACAAATGAAGACACCCCAAATTGCGGAAAATGTTTTACTTTTCGGCAATGAAGTTCACTATAAGAAACTACCGGTTTAAGAAAATGATAGTAAGACGGGACGTAATTATTACTTACAGAGATCGTATCTGACATAACTAAACTCAAAATAGGTTGGATATTTGAGGATTACATTCAGTGCGAAACATTTGAGGTGGCTGTTTCCATCTAGCGGGCACATGCTATCTGCTATAATTTTCACTGGAATTGTCTACGTGCTATCAGACTTCGTTAGATAATTGTTGAAAGAGTAGTCTATTAATGAAAGTCAAAACTTACCTCGGAAGGCATGACCCCTACTATACGTTTATTAATCTGACACCGAAAATACAAAACTGCAAAAATTGTTGACGCGTTTCACCAACCAAGTTGGGATTATCTAGGGCTAGCCAATACTAACCTCACTAGGCTGGTCTAGCTTGCCTAGTTGGCAACCCATTCATGACTCGAGGTAGAGTTGCTTAACTCACATGGTCTCTACGCCGGGAGTTTGAACTCGCATCTTTGTTTTATTTACATAATTTTTCAACTTATTCTTCTGTTCTCTATTTTCGTCCTGAAATTGGTAACTTCTATGTTACACAATGAAGCATATTATTATTACAAGCCAAGACTCATAAAAGGTTTTCAAACTTTTTTCTTGAAACAGTGATAAAAAAATCGTTCTATTTAGAGTGTTTGCGTCAGCGTGTGTTTTTCAATTTTTCATTAAAATTATTTCATTAAATTAGATGTCCTTCGTTTTTGCATTTTTTAGGAGGTTAGTTGACTTGGTTATGGTTACAGTTAAAATGTTGTTTTTTGAAGGGTTACTTTGAAATTAAATTTGATTTTTTCAGATTTTTAAATTAAAAATCAAATACAGAGTACAAAGAAATAAATAATGCTTCTCAAAATGTCCTAATTATTATTAATTACCCATTTAGAATTCAACTTTTATTACAAAATATTATTTAATGTATTTAAATAAAATTTGGGTATGCACTGCTTAACAACTATTTTTTTCTTGGTTAAGGGTGGGTAACACAATTAATATTAAAAAACCGAGATTCTGCGATCCTAACATAGTCAAAATTATAATATATATCATACATATAAAAAAAAATAATAATAATAAATTCGATTACTAATGCGCGAACGTGAGATACCTCATTCATTATATGCCATATGTTAATGTGAACAAATAGGCAACAAAAAGTGCAGCTGAAAGAAAATTAACTTGCAATTATTAATGGTCTACAGAGTAAATTAACAGAGTAACTGCTTAGTTCAAAGTACAATTAATCTAGTGAAAATTACACAGGTTAACTAATAAATACTATCACTTAAGTTCTAAGAAATTTATCTTTTCTGTATTCAGTCATAAATTAATTAGCACTGTTGAAGCCTTGATGGGACAACGCCCACCAAGTTACTCACAGTGGCTCAACTCATATTACTTCAGTGCATTGCTGTTTTCAATAATAGTAATGAAAACACAGCTAGGTTAATATGTTTTACAGAGTTGTGCTAATAGCATGATGGATCTCATTAGTTGTGGGCGATGACGACTGAATAATTTAACTCTGCAATTAGTAGTTTGCCAAGGGATGTTTGAGTTGTCACCAAGTGTTGGTGAAGTTCAGGCCGCAATGTTAGTACGTAGTAAAATGAGATGGAAACAAATTTACTAGATTCAAAACAATTGTTTGTTAACCACGATATTTGAAGCCATGAGACTACCATAAATTTATAATAAAAAATATGTGTCATGAAGCATGTTCGGATCGTCTTTAAAGAGATGTGAGAAACTGACTCGCACAAGAAATATAAATGCCAGTTTATCCGTTAAATCCCTTTTTTGAATCAATCAAGGTGAAATTTCCATTTGCGTATAGGTAGGTACATAGTGATTGATTTGCAGCAAACCTTGTAGTATACGTGCATTCCAAGTCATGGGAACTGATTTTCAACTGTATAAAACCCATTTGCGTAAGCCACCATTTTTGAGATAAATACCACTTTATGAGTACGTAGATAATGGTTTAATTTGTAGTAAAATATAAACTAGAATAATTATCATGAATGCACTCAGGCGGGACTTAAATTTATGGTATCAACTAAAACGGAGTACTACGTAACAATTCATTTTTAGCAATCATGCAAGTGTCTAAATGAAAGAGGAGACACTTCCTGTTATAGCGTCCAGACTGTTTTCTGGGAAAACTATAGAACGGAGTTGAATAAAATAAATGTAGAGTTCCAAGAGACACACAATCGCCCGTGCAGCACTTGTAATTATTTCGCTGAGCGACTACAGCCTTGAAAAATATTCCCGCGACGTAGATATTACTAGGGGGTATTTTTCAACAGTGAGTGATTCTTCCTCTTAAAATAACACATTTCATTTTGTCAGAGTATCGAAGATAAACTTTTCCTAGAAAATTTCCTTTAAAATTGCAACGGCGGTGTTTGTCTTCGGTTGCGTGCTTTAATACACGTACGATGTGGATATGGAATTAACAGTTTAGGTTGTTTTTTAGTAAACAAAGCCGCGTGGTGTGCACATTACAGTCGATAAGGATTAAACGATTTTTCCATAGTGATGTACTACTGAACGTGACATATCTGTCTTTGGGTGGTTAGGATTCCGCGAAATTATTTTGAACACCGCTGCTACAAGTTGACAGTTAGTATATTGAGGCAGAGTCAGTATTTATGTGCATTCTTTAATAATTACGTCTATTACTTATAGATGAACCGATTTCTTTTTTGTCGGTATAAAATTACCTAAGCATAACAATACCAAATCCATCTTGAAAAGCTGTGGCTAATAGTTACAATCAGCTGACGTACTCAACAAATGAGTACATTTTCGCGGAATTAACAAGGTCGCTCATTATCAATGATATCACCGCTGGAGTTGTTTTGTAACATACAGATTATTGTTTATACGTTTAGAAAATAATTAGTTAAATATATTCACCCGAATAAATAGCAAACACAATAGTAAGGAACTAATAATTTGGATCTGATTTAATACACATGTTTGAACTATTGTTTACATTCTCAAATTAAGTAGTCGGCACTTCACTTCTGTCGATTAATAATAAGTGTAATATATCATTATGCAAAGATTTATACAGTAGACTAGAATTAATACGATATTAATTGTTTGCTGTGCAAAAAGTAAAATTTATGCTAATAAATGATTCATATCTAGTGTATGTGTATCTGGATACTCGGATTTAGACAGCAGGTAAGAGCTGCTGTATAATTAATGAAAAATACAGTTTTTAATCTAGACCTAAATCAAAAATCTTTTGAAATAGTGTCCAAACAATAAAATTTAATTGGTTTAAATATCATTTTGTATTTCTCTAGATACGGAATTTTTAAATTTATCATAAGTATTATTTACCATAAAATATTAGTTTTATTAATGTTTTGGTCTTCAAAAATCTTTGGAAATATTACGGTAAATCGTGATTCTTACAAAATATCCTACTCTAATGGTAGAGTGTGGGTTCTATGACCTTGTTTCAAGGATGAAGTGTTTCCGGGTAATGCTGTGGTCGTTGTGTTAAATCTACTAACATTTTGAAAGACATGCTCTTTTGATATGAAGTAATACCACTGTATCGAGTATAGGGATCAAGTATTTGTCACATTGGTGGGAGGCTGTACGATCTGGTGTATCAGCTTGTTACTCCTGTAACATCGTTTTTAGTTTTAGTCTGTAGCCTTTCAGTTCCATTCGCAATTGTCTTACAGTATACGGATAACGTAAATTCTGTAATATAATCGTTGACAGTATGTTCTGCCATCTCTCCACTTTTACGTTTTCATCTTTCATGACTCCTACAGGACGAAAAAATAGGTCCCCCGTTTCCGTCTGTCTGTCCGTCCGTCTGTCTGTCTGTCCGTCTGTCTGTCCGTCTGTCTGCCGTCACGGACTTTTATTAGACAGATAATCTCCAAAAGTACTGGGCTGATTGTTGTCAAATTTTGTATTTATATTAGGAACATCATGTAGATGGCAAGACGATAACAAAAATTTCTCTAATCGTCCCCACCACTAATGCGATGAGGACACTTCAAAATTGTACATAGCAAATGGGTTTTAAATTGTATAAAATAACATAGTCCTAAACATGTAGTTTATGACTCCGAATAGTTTTTACCCGAAACGTCCAGATTTTTGGAAAAAAAATCAAAATTACGAAACAACATTTTGCAATTTAATTTTGAATCTGGTAACGAATGCTTTGAAATCTTGCAGATGTTTTAAGGCTATAAAGAGCATAATAAATTTTTAGTCAAAATATATTTGCTTATCCCCTCCAAAAAATTGATGACGTCAGCTCAAAAGTTTACCGAATAAATTCTATCTAAAATGTACAAAATATGATGAGTTTGTCCTTGTGATTTATCATTCCTTTCATATTTTTTGGATTTGCATATAATGACTAAAGAAAAATAATGGATGCGTGAATTTATTTTATTGATTTAATCAGGAACTACAAAACCGAATGCTTTGAAATCTTGCATAATAAATTTTGTATCAAAATGTATCTGTTAATCAACCCACAAAGATTGATGACGTCATTTCAAATTTTGGCGAATATATCCTGTCTAAAATGTGCAAACTGTGATCAGTCTGTACTTGTAATTTATCATTACATTGACAACATTTTTTAGATTTGCTTATAAGGGATTAATGACTGAGTCAATTTATTTTCTTGATTAAATCAAGAATTGCAAAACTGAATACTCTGAAATCTTGCAGCATGGTAAATGTTTAATCAACAACTGTAGTATTAATTTATTATTTGCCTTACAGGCTTAATAATATTCCCAGTAGGGGTACAAATTAACTTAATCTGCCTCAGATAAAGCAATAACAATAAAAATAAATAAAATAAAATAAAAATTCGAGTGTTATATAATAAACATTCTATTCTTTCTGCTTGCCCACCCCTTGCCATAGTTCCCTTATCTTCCATATTTCTTTCATCCAGTCCAGTCCTCTTCCCTCCTCGTTTAGCACTTCTTCCCTACTTTCCTCCGATTCTCTCAATCCTTCACATCCTTCCAGCATATGCTCTATTGTTTCTCCCTCTCTCCAACATATCCTACACCTTCTGTCAGTTTCATCCATCCAAAAATTATTCTCTTTCTCTTCATTTCCATACCTAAATCTCGCCATCATTCTTTTCTCCTTTATACTCTCTCTCTCTCTGTGTACTTTGGTACTTCATCCTTTACTATTTTTCTATAGTCTGCATTATATCTAGACTCCGATATTCTCGATCTACGTTCTTGCTTATCTATATCCTTATCTCTTACACTCAGCTCTTTTTTCATACTCCTTCCCATTTCTCTCATTCTCTCTATTTCTTCACGTGCATATCCCTTTCCTTCATAATACTTGTCCCTTTCGTTCCAAACATGTTTTCC